CCCCAAAACCCCAAAACCCCAAAACCCCAAATTTTATGCAAAAAGTTGAAATATTTTCAACTATTTTTGAGGATTTTTAAGTATGAATTCTAAAACATGGAATGACCTTGTAGGAGTCTCCAGAGGGCTCTGGTCGGTCCTACAGAAAGCCCAGACTAATAATCAGAGCGTATATAGAATGCCCAGAGTTCCTTCATATCAAAGGTTAGAGAGTTACAGTCAGGAATACTCCCAAGCTGTGGATGAGAACAATGAGGACCCACTTGATCGAGAATTTCACAAAATTAACCGTGAAAGAATGCTTAAGAATACTACAGAAGAAGCTATGTCTACTGACCAAGGAAGCCATATTAGTGAAGAGCGTAGGGGTCACATAGAAGAACCCTCTCTGGAGGACTCAAAGAGAACTGAGCCAATTAAGCAATCTGAAGAAGTCTCAGAAAGTACTCATAAAGAGGAATTCATTGAAGACGAAATCACAGAGAAAGAAAAAGAACTGGGATATGACCAAACACCTTTTTACCTAAAACAAGATAGACCGGTGTTCACAGGAAGAGAGACTAAAATTCCGACCAGTCCTTCTGCCAGAGCTTTACATTTTGGAGCTCTAGGAATTTCTTTAGTAGGAGGAACTCTATCTGCTGCTTTAAAACAAAATTTAGGGATTTCTCAGCCCTTACCAGAAGTAGAGGGAGGAAGAAGACTCGCAAGATATGCAATGACCGATGATAACTCTAATAGATTATCAAATACTTTATGCAAAATGAGAGGAGCTGCTTTAAAAATTGGACAGATACTCAGTAACACTGACGATAGTGTGATCCCTCTATCGATACAAAAAGCATTTGATAAAGCAAGGCAGAATGCAGACATTATGCCCAAATATCAAGTCGTTCAAATGCTTGAGAGAGAACTTGGAGCAAATTGGAAAGACAATTTTGAAGAGTTTGACATGTATCCAATAGCAGCAGCTTCAATCGGACAAGTCCATAAAGGAATCCTTAAAGATGGGACTGAGGTTGCTATAAAAATCCAGTACCCTGACATTGAAAGATCAATCGACTCAGATTTTGGCAATTTCAGAAGACTTCTCAAAGTAGTCGGAGCCATGCCTGACAATCTCTATCTCGAAGAGCTATTCGCTAACGTGAAAGCTGAATTACATGAAGAATGTGACTACACTATTGAAGCCGAGAAGCAAAGATTCTACAAACAGATGCTTGAAGATGAAAGCTACTCAAGTGACTATTACGTCCCAACAGTGTATAATGATTTATCAACCAAGCATATAATTACTCAAGAATTTATCCACGGAGTTCCAATCGATGAGCTTCACAATTACCCACAAGAGGTAAGAGATAGAGCGGGTAAGCTCATGTTAAAGCTATGTCTTCATGAGATCTTCCTCCTCAAGTTCATGCAGACTGACCCAAATCCTGCAAACTTTTATTATGATGTTGAGAAGAATAGATTTAACTTAATAGATCTTGGAGCTGCTCACCATTACAAAGAGTCTTTCGTACATGATTACTTCCAAGTAGTAGAGGGAGCTGCTCTTGAAGATAAAGACAAAATTATCGATTACTCTACAAAACTAGGGTTCCTTACCGGTGATGAGAATAGAGTGATGCTAGAGTCTCATTCCAAAAGTGCAATGTTCATTGGAGAGCCCTTCAAACACCAAGAACCCTACTTTGATTTTGGAAACTCTAAAATTAGCAATAAGCTAATTGAAGAAATTCCAGTGATGCTAAAGAACAGACTGAGTCCTCCTCCTCAAGAAGTTTACTCCCTACACAGGAAGCTATCCGGTTCATATTTCCTCTGCATCAAGCTAAGATCGAAGGTGAACTCAAAAGAGCTATACAATGAAGTGAGTGAAAGATTCAAGCTCATGAATAGCCTCCAGTATTCAACAGTTTATTAAACGTATATTTAGATCAGAAAATACAATTTCAGTCTATCAATCTGTTGAAGGGGTTTTGGGGTTTTGGGGTTTTGGGGTTTTGGGG